GGAAGACAGAAATAGTGGGTCTACGAAACGAATGTCGTTGCTAAAGAATTTGGCGGAGGGAAGATGTGATCGATAAAACCTGGACCAGGTCTAAGACCAACCTGATTTTCCCCCGTGCACTCTTCGCGTACGGCAGATAATCGAAGGAGTGTGATATCATCGAGGAGTTCAGAGACTATGTTGAGTAAAGTATTTTTCTCCGTGGTTTTCATGTAAATCGCCGATTGACACCATTCAATTGGAATCTGTTCCCTCTCCCGTGTTGAGTGCCGAAATTTAGTCAACTCCAAGACCAACGCTAAACCTCCATCATCAAAAGCCAATGCGGAAACCCATCTGGGAGGCCTTTTGAGGCAGCTTGTTCCCCGGCATGACGCTTTGGCTACNGGCTACTGGCTCAGTGAGGGTTGGAGTTATTACGTTATCGGACGACATAGCAACGTAAGGTTCTCAAACAGGAGTCCGTTGGCGGAAGTACAATTTGTTTGTTTGATTTATAAGCACCAGAAAGTGACGAGTTCCATCCTAACAGCTTTGGATTTGCAGATGAAGCGAACCTATCCAAACGGAGGAATCCTCAGTGAGACATATAACCTCGCATCCCCACTGGACGGTAGGAATTCAAAATTAAAACGATCCGAAATCATGTACATAGCTCACCTTGGGAAAACGTTCAATGAACAATGGATTTCCCCATCGTGCCGAATTCAGTGATTCCGGCAAATTAGCCACAGCTGGTAAGTCTGCTGGGTCCAATAGGCTGGACTCATCGGCTGCATCTTCAACCCTTAACACTCGAGTCATTCCATCCAAATAGAGATAGACGCGTAAACGTCCCGAGCCCGGTCGCAACCACAGTGGTGCGATGATGGCCGGGACCAGTGTTGAACTAATCAAGCGTGTGGCCGATTCTCGAGGTTTTGCAGCTAATGCCGCCGTGCCAACGAACTCGGTCAAATCACATCGTTCAGACGCAGTGGTAATCCGGTTACTGCGAACTATCTGTACACAATACTTGGCACTGTTCACGAGTAGACCATTCTGATAAATAGGATAAAAGAACATGGGTACGAAATACAATAGTCAGTGATGAACTAAGACAATTCAGTGGAATGAATGTGATTAAGGAAGTAAACTCCATTGAACGAACAAGCAAGGAAAGAAGACTAACCCAAGCACACGACGAATGGTTAGCTAATATTGAAGACCTTTTTGAAACAAATTTATTTATCGGTCACTATTCACCCGACTTTCATGTCTACGTGAGACCGTTATCAATACTAACCTACTAATCGCCAAGCAGATTAGCGAGACTTCACTATTCGAGTGAGCGCCACTACTTCCTCTTTCTGCAGCTTCCCAGGTAGCCTTTCTACGACCGTCGCCCACCTCCTGAAAATTGACTTTACATCTGCACTTTCGATGAATAAAAAAAGGAAATGAAAACACAAGACCTCCCGGACTCAAAATTCAAAATATCGCCATATTGACTTAATTATCCCCTAAAACACTCCGGCAAACTGTGTC